ATATACATACACACACACTTTTTTTTCAGTTTCTCTCCTCCATAGACTCAGATCCACATTAAGGTTGAACATGTCCATTTTAGTCAAACTTGATATGAAATATTCTGTACAGAGTACAGATTCATTCAAAAACCTTTGGATTTGTTAAAATCATTTTTCCTAAATAAAAATGAAAACAAGAATAAAGAGAAGGCTCCTTGGGCATTGAATTTGTGGTGGGTCGGTTGGATTTTTTGTTTATTATAAAATATGTATAAGTGCTTTCGAACATTGCTTTTTTAGTGAAAGTAGAACATTATGGTTTTTGTAGGTGTAAATATACTTTAAAGAAAACTCCATAACAAAGGAAAAAAGTCTAAAAAAGTATTTTTATACTAAACAAACAAAAACACATGGGTTATTACATTGTACTCGAAAGAGCAATTAAATTGTACTATTATTGTCATTACCATTCTGATAAAAATGTAAAATTCTAACTGTGTGCAGTTATAATCAAAGTAACAAACACTGAATTAATTTAAAAAACTGAACAGAATTCCTTCAAAAAATACAGACTTGTTTACAAAAAGTTTTTTCTGAAACACAAAAGTCTTAGACCTTTAGAAATTCCTTTCATTTTTAGTCCATATATAAATGGATTAATCAAAGGTTGATACAAAAATAATTGTAATGTCATTAAAAAGCGAACAGTTTTAGGAAACTCTGATTCAACACGAGCTATAATTACATCGTATGCAACTAAATAAGAGCTGCTGAATAAAACTAGCAAATGAGGTATACAGGTTTCAGCAGCTTTTCTACTGAATGTTTTAAAATTTTGACAAGCTTTCATAAATATAATTGCATATGTAAAAACTATGAAGAGCATTGGAAATATTACAAGGTCTATTAAAGAAATAAGCCCAAATACAGTCAGTGGTTTTGATCTGACACACTGAAGTGTGAAAACTGCATTGTTACAAATTATTCCATTCAAAGATAAGTTACATATCTTAGCTTTAGCAATTAGAACTGTTGTTACTGTAATATGACATGCAGGAAAAAACCAGACAAAAATTAGAAAAATATTCACTGCATTTTTTGTCATAATAGTGTGATATCTCAGAGGCTTACATATTGACACATATCTGTCAAAAGCCATGACTGCCAACAGAATAAACTCTGCTCCACCTAGTGTATAAAATATAAAAAACTGGAAGAGACAAGTTGAGTATGATATGTACGGTGTACATTTTAGGACATCCTCAGTTTTACTTGTCAGTCATCAGTTGTCAGAAAAAAAGTTGTCAGTTTTACTCGTCAGTCATCAGTTGTCAGAAAAAAGTTGTCAGTTTTACTTGTCAGTCATCAGTTGTCAGAAAAAAAGTTGTCAGTTTTACTTTTCAGTCATCAGTTGTCAGCAAAAAAGTTGTCAGTTTTACTTGTCAGTCATCAGTTGTCAGAAAAAAAGTTGTCAGTTTTACTTGTCAGTTGTCAGTTGTCAGAAAAAAGTTGTCAGTTTTACTTGTCAGTCATCAGTTGTCAGAAAAAAAGTTGTCAGTTTTACTTGTCAGTTGTCAGTTGTCAGAAAAAAGTTGTCAGTTTTACTTGTCAGTCATCAGTTGTCAGAAAAAAAGTTGTCAGTTTTACTTGTCAGTTGTCAGTTGTCAGAAAAAAGTTGTCAGTTTTACTTGTCAGTCATCAGTTGTCAGAAAAAAAGTTGTCAGTTTTACT